ATACTACCACTGATGTCAGATGGATCTTAGCTGAAAGCAGAGAATACCAGAAACATGTTTACCTGTTTGATTAACTATGCAAAGGCATTTGACTATGTAGATCATAACAAATTATGGAAAACATTGTGACAAATGGGAATTCCAGAACGCTGATTGTGTTCATAAGGAACCTGTACATAGACCAGGAGGCTGCTTACGTACAACCAAACACCTTGGTTCCTTGGTTTTGGAGGTTCAGGGTAATGGTTTCATGGGACATCCCAGTTAACTGGCCTAATAACATGTTTAATGGCCCTATTCTACCTCCTAGTTCACTGTGTAGTATGAGGGGTCTTAAAAGCTTGTAAGCAGCCATCCATAGCACAAGTGGTCTCTATTCACCCGAAACAACAGAGGACGGAGGAGAATCCAGAATAGGAGAAGGATATGGAATGTGTAGCTAATTGCCTCTTTGCTGTGAGACCAGAAGAACTGGATGGTATCTGACTACATTTACTAAACATTTTGATCAAAGATTCCACAGCAAGATCCTGATCAAAAGAGGGAAAATATAGAACAGAACTTCCAATTCTCATGGACTCTAGTCTCTCTGGAGCCAAAGGGGTGAATAAACCCCTGAAACTTGCCCTGAGATAATCTTTAAACCTTAAACTCAAAATATCCCCTGAAGTCTTGAAAACTTAAAGCTTAACTAGCAAAAAAAAAAGTCTGTCTTGAGCATCATGCTCTTTTAAGAACTGTCTCTAAGGGATTAAACTGTCAACAGCAATTCAAAAGTTTAGATAGGAAACTTAGGAGGCAGCGAGTTTATGTTAATGAGGGAGAGACAACTCAGAAAAGGAGGGTGAATAACAGTTGCATGTAATTAATGTCACTGCACTGTACATGTAGAACTGCTGAATCAGTGTAATGTTTTGCTGTGTATATTCTTAACAACAACAAAATAAATAAAATTTAAAGGAAAAATAAAAAAGAACAAAGTAAGGCACAGATGCCTTTTGAGCATTAAACCAACAACTCCTAAAACATCAATATATAAATTAGAAGTGGCACCCAGAGCTCATGCTTCCAAATCTGATGTGTAATCCTCATCACAGCACTGCCCCCAAGAGAGGCAATGTAAATTGTCACTTCCCCTTCCTCATTTGAAAAGTTGTGAAATCCCAGCAGCTCACAGCTCTACCAGGTCCGAAGGATCAGGATATCCTGTTCTTAACAGACTCTCCCCACTATCAGTCTGTTTGCCACAGTACAGCATTCGCATTATCCAAGCCCAAGTGAAACCACAAAACCACAGACCTCGGGCTGGTCGTCAGAGTCCAGACCATACAGTCTATTGCTGACATCACGGCCCTAAAGGGTCTCTTTTTTAAAAAAAGGCTTTTCAGCACTTTCCTCATGGCATTTGCCTACCAGACAATCGTTTAAAAGGTGCTCCAAAGACGACAAGTCATCAGGTCCCCATGTTAGGATACACAGGGAACACACATGAAATTAGGATGGAGTCCTGATATAGAACATATGCATGTGTTTCAATTGGGGCTTCGAGCTTGTTCAAGATGGTTGTCATGGCTGATACAAACAAGGGCAGCATACACTTTGCACATCAACCAAACATCCTGCACGTTTGACCTGATTTTGACCCGAACAAGAAACAGGTTATTTATTCAATCTGTATGCTGAGGAAATAATCCAAGAAGGTGGACTGAAGAAGAATACGACATCAGGACTGGAAGAAGACAACCTGTGATACGCAGACGACACAATCTTACTTGTTGAAAGTGAAGAGGACTTGAAGCACTTACTGATGAAGATCAGAGACTACAACCTTGGGTATGGATTAAACCTCAACATAAAAGAAAACAAAAATCCTCACAACTGGACCAATAAGCAACATCATGATAAATGGAAGAAAGATTCAAGTTGTCAGGGATTATATTTTATTTGGATCCATGATCAACACCCACAGAAGAAGCAGTCAAGATATCAAACAACGTATTGCACTGGGCAAATCTGCTGCAAGACTTCTTTAATGTGTTAAAGAGCAAAGATGGCACTTTGAAGACTAAGGTGCACGGTACTTCCAATCACCTCATACGCAAGTAAAAGCTGGATAATGAATAAGGAAGACGAAAGAAGAATTGATGCCCTTGAATTGTAGTGTTGGCGAAGAATACTTAAAACACCATGGACTGCTTGAACAAACAAATCTGTTCAGTAAATGATAGTTAGAAAACACCACATTAATCTCCTTGCTGTTTCTGAAACATGTCGGCCCCTCAAAGCCTTTGCTTTATTTTCCTCCAAAGCCCAAACCACCATCTGATGTATCTTTATTGTGTTTCCCCCAATGAAAATGTAAACTTCACGAGAGCAAAGACTTCTCTTTTATCCATTACCAGATCCTCAACACCAAGAACAGTGCCTGGTATTAAAACAAAACAACAACAACAAAAAAACAAACTTAATAAGTATCTGCTTAAGGTATCAATCAATGACAAATTAAGTGGACTAGAATAGTACTCTAAAGTAACTAAAGGTAAACTCATGATTGTATGGAAGAGGGCATCCCAGGAAGTGAGCAAACAGGACATGTTCAGAAGACAGAGAAAATCAGACTGGTTAGAGCCCAATGAGTAATGATAAGGCTGAAATGAGATTATAAAGATATTTAAGTGCCATGATGCCTAAAATCCCTTCCAGCTCTAACACTCCATGATTCTGGGTTTTATTCTATACAACAGGAACATCATTGCCACTACAGAGATGAGAAAGTTTTTGAAAAGGGGACTGACATGATGAAAGATGTGTTTGAAGAGATAAATCTGGTAGCTGTAATTTGAATATATTAAAATCAACGATATCAGTTAGAAAACTAATGACATAATCCATGATTTAGAACATTAGAGTTCAGATACGGGTGGTGATGGATAAAGAAGGTATTTTCAAAGATGAATCAGCACAACTTAATAGACTGGAAAAGACAAAAATAATTCCAAAACTGTGAGCCTGAGTGACTGCAAGGACAGTGGTAATACTGCTGAGAAAAGGGAACTGGTGTGAAAGAAAAGCTCACGGTTACAGTCTCAGACATTTTGAGTTTGGGGCAAAAGGGGCACAATCATATGCAAATGTCTACAATACAGTTGAGAGATCCTGGAACCGGCAGCAGTGCGGGCAGGGAGGAGGACATCGGTGATGAAATCACTACCGAAGTCCTTCCATCTTCTCTCCTTTAATCCACTATCCCATTTACTTTATGCAAACTTCTCCAGCTCTTAAACTAAGTTGATCTGCTTTACATCAAAGGAGCTGATTCTTTGCTAACTGTCAAAAGCAACTAGTTGATCTGCTGTTTGGAAACTTCCTGGGAATTTGTCAGCTCTGACTGTTCTTCAATGATCATATAATCAGAACTCTGGTGGTGATGTAGTGCCTAAGGCATTTGACTGCTAACCAGAAGGCTGGCGGTTCAAACCCACCAGCCACTCCTCAGAAGATTGGGCAATCGACTTCCGTAGAGATACTGCCTCGGAAATCCAAAGAGGGGTCACTATGAGTCAGATCCGACTCAACAGCAGTGACTTTTTTTAAAAATTGTTCTTCCTCAATGATCATGTAAATCAGAACCAGGACAGCATAACTGGAACAGATGTGAATTTGTAAAATGCAAGTATACTAGAACGATAACCGGAATGGAAGAAATTACTGGTTATTGTGTGGGAGACCTGAGAGGGGTGAGGTAAGCCCTTTCAGGATCCTGATGTGGGAGAATGCATTATTGGCAAGACTGTGAAGAACGACACACACTCAAAAGTGGCATGGTCAGCTGCCATTTTTGAGCAAGGCACCACTGTTTCCAACTATGCTGGCCAAGAGATTTGGTTGCTATGCAAGGCACATGATGTGCTTGTTTTCTGAGAGGGAGATTAAGTGTCTAGCAGGGTGATAACTGCATTCTGGTATACTCATTTTACAAATTTGGGTCTGTTCTGGTTTCGTTTCAACGGTCAAGACCAAACCAGGAAGAACCAGTTCAAAGCCCTGCTCTGAACACACTAAAAACCTAAAATTGCCATAAGTCCCTTTGCTGCCAATATGGACAGAGACTAAGGATAAAGTCAAATGAAGGCAAGGAGAATAAGAGCTAAAAGCAGGAGTCCGATGAGACCGTTAAAATCCCAAGGTCCAGCCATGCCTAATGTCAGCACCCCATTATGACCTTCCCAGTTCAGATAGTCAAAATGTCTTTACATCCTCTTTCGTTAAACCAGTTTGAGCTTTTTGTGATGTGCCTTGCAGTCCAAAAGGGCCCCAACTAATATAACAAGTATAAACAGCATACAACCTTCAGGGTCTAGTGTCATTGAAGCTAAAGAATAGGAAGTGAAAAGTAATCTGCTTTTCCACCCATCACTGAGCACAGAAGTTACCAGGTAAATAGCCTGAAAGTTACTGCAGGATTGTGGCCTTGATGGGCACAAAAGAACCCACACCAAGATATTAGGACTAGGATATGGAGACCAAAGCTGCTTCTGGCTTTGCCCTATACTGCTTATCAGACAAACCCCACTTGCAATCCCTAAGAAAACCTGTCACTAGCATGTTGTTGTTATTGTTGTTGTTAAGTGCCGTCGAGTCGTTTCCGACTCATAGCGACCCCATGCACAGCAAAATGAAACACTGCCCAATCCCGCGCCAGCCCCACAATCCCTGCATGTCACTAGCATGGAAATACACTATTTCCTAGCAACTATACCCACATTCAATTCTAGTGTTCAATGCTAGTAGACCACAGCACTCAAGAAATGCCCACTTTTGTGGGAAAACAATGTGGAACAAAACTCAAAATCATAAAAAAAAAAAAAAAGAGACCAGGTTTGGTGCTGGTTAATAGAGCCTGTTGAGACCCCAGAGACTATGGTCCCTAATTACCCTTCAGATCTGGAACTGAACTCACTCCTGTGGCTTCCAGCCAAACAATAGGCATATAAGGTGAATATTTTTACATCAGGTAGATACACTCCTTAGAATGATCAATTATGGGAGTATTTATATAGAGAGACAGCTCAGAGGATAAGAATGCATAGGAAAGGACACAAGGAAGAGGTAACTATGGGGAGAAAGGGGGAAGAAAGCTGCTACATTGTGGGGAATTGCAGTCAATGTCATGAAACAAAGTGTGTATGAACTGCTGTATGGAAAATGAAGTTGTTCTGTAAACTTTCACCCAAATCACAGTGAAAATTTAAAAAAAAAAAAACAAAAAACACGTCCACTCTTGCACATGACACAAAGAACTCTACCAATCCGCCAACTTTCACTTACATGTGTGTAAGCTTCAGCAAATGTACAATTCTCATTTCCCCTTCCTGCCAGCCCAAGAGAAAGGAAAGTTCATGCTCAGTCTAACTTCAGAGGGCACTACAGAGTTGTGGTAAGATGCTGGTCCAGAGAAGGCACTCTGACTACTTACCCTTGCTCTCAAAACACACTTCAAACATGTCATAATCTTCAGTGGTAAAGGCAAATTTCCCCTTGGTTGCATCCTCCTTGGAGTACAGAATATGGCCAGCAGAATCTGTGATCTAAAATGAAAAATTAAGTAAGAACAGGCAACAAATGACACTCAGGAAACAACTTAAACTGGAGATCTGGAACTGCCTATAGAAGATAGTTGCTATTTCTCATCATGGTAACTTTGTTCCAACCATCCTCAAAGACAGGAATTGGATTAGATGATGAAACCCAGATACAGCAGGTTTCATTCATTCAAACAGCCTAACCATACTACAAGCTAAAATCTGTTGCCTCTAAAGGATGACATACCATATCAAAAAGTTGATACAGCCAATGTTCTAAGTTATATAAATTAAGTTTACTGGCAAAATCTCACTTTAAAGAATGTAGGCTAGCAACACTCCCTATAAAGGGACATGTTGCAAAAATGGAAATGGACAATTACTGAAAGAATATATCTATGATACTCTAAGAGGGAAAGGGATTATGAGAACACACATTTCCTGGGTAAAACAATTTTGTGTGTGTGTACAGTGGCTTGGGTGGAAGTTTACAAAGCAAACTGGTTTCCATTCAACAATTCATACACATTCAGTTTTGTGACATTTACTGCAATGTCCGCATGTAACAGCACTCTTCCAGCCTCCTCCCTGTGTTTACCGTTTCCATTCATCCTTCTTTCCTGTCCCTTCCTACTTTCCCAGCTTTATCCCTGAGCAAATGCTGTCCTTGTGATCTCCTGTGGCTGACTGTTCTAATGAGTGCCTTCTTTCCTGGTGTTACTGTTCACCTTATAGGCAGGCCTATTGCTGGACTGAAAGGTGAGCCACAGGGGTGAGTTCAGTTCCAGGCCTGAAGTGTATCTAAGGGCCATAGTCTCAGAGGCTCCACCAGTCTCTATCAGACATGGTCTTTTTTTTTTTTTTTTAATGATTTTGATGGAAAACAAATCTTGATGGAGTGTGGACAAGGAAGTGGAAGGACACCTGATGTAAGGACAGACAGCAAAGAAGGCATGCATAGAGAAGAAAATCTGGGAGATCTACTTTTGCAAATTTTATACCAATTGTGTCACTGGCCACAAGGGGTGGGAGTGAAGCATGGGGGATAAAAAAGGTACCTGGGCTTCCACAAATGATCATTCCTTTCTTCTTGGTGGTTAGTGTTAGGTGTCCAAACTTAAATTTTAAGCACTGATGAAGTGGCACATACTGGTAAGTGAATGGCCATATATAAAAGAAGGCAATGATACAGTAATTTAACAGACTAGATATCAGGCTTCTTTTCTAGAACACATGGCTGTGTCAACAAAAGGCACATTTCATTACCTAAGAAACTACTTTGCAATGTAGAGCATGATATTAAATTGGATGTTCTAATGCTATCTGTTAAAACAGGACTCTTAATCTCTCATTAAGAGATTTTAAACAGGAAAAATGAGTAACACATATAGAAGTACTTAAAGCACTTTTAAAACAGTAATTATTTCTGAATAGTGACATATCTTCTTTATACTTTATAGTATTTCATATAAAGGTAAGGATCACTTATGCTCAGAAATAATAACAAACTTAAGTCATTAAAAAAAAAAAGAAAGAAAGAAAAGGAGTTTTCCTTCTACCTTCTATCTTATAAGACTTTTGGGATCAAGAGATTCCTGGCTAAGAAATAAAAGCACAATCATTCTCCAATGGATTCCAATGAAAACTGGTACTAAACTCAGGTACATCTCCAAGAGGAGACACTGGAGAAGAACCAGGCTGGGTCTGTGAGGAGTTGCACATGTGATGGTACACACATTCAGTTAGGTTTACTAGCATCCTACCATTACCAAGTTCACTAACATTCTACCACATCAAGTTTGGTATTTCATCATGATCTAATCAGCTGAACATGCGCCGGGGAACTTCTAGTTTCCGCTTTTCTACTTACGCTTCTGCATGAGACTGAGTAACTAATAAATATTTGAGACCTTTGGTTTGAAAAAAAAAAACTAAAAACTGAAAATACAGTAACTAAAGAAAAATTATCACTGCCAGACAAATTTCGGACGATGAGTTAATTTTAAAGTTTTATTGCCCATCTTCTAAATTCCCTAGTAACAGCAGTTAATATTAATCAAATGTCTTCTGCCATCTAGCATCATTCATTAATTCAACCATTTGGTGGTGTTGTTATGTGCTGTCGAGTCAGCCCTGACTCATAGAGACTCCTCCTTGGGTTTCCGAGGCAGTATCACTACAGAAGTAGAATTTAAGAGAGCTAAATCCGTGCTGGTCATTGGGGATGCAAAGACGTGTAAGTTAGCTCCTGTCTTCAAGCGGCTAAGAGTCTAACTGAAGAGAAGGAGAAGAAATGAGCCAGCTTCATTGCAACGTCACAAACGCATGACTAGAGAGTATGCACAGGTGCCACGGGACTAGGGAGGGCCAGGGAACAGATCTTGGAGGAAGTAACACAGAAGCCGAGCTCTGAGGGAGGTGTTGCAATCAAGGGAAAAATAAGGGAAAAGACATTCCAGGTAGAAGAGATTGCAAATATTAAGACCTGGGGTCCACAAACAAACAAACATGGATGGCATCATCACCGTAATACTAATAGCTAGTATTTATTGAACATTTACAAAGTGTCAAGTGTTTTATGTATATTTTAAATTTAATTCTCAATATAACTTTATAAAGGAGCCCTGGTGGTGCACTGGTTAACAGCTCAGCTGCTAATTCAAAGGTCAGTGGTTCAAACTCACCAGATACTCCACATGAGAAAAACTGGCAGTCCGCTTCTGTAAAGATTACAACTTTGGAAACACTACGAAGCTGTTCTACTCTTGTTTTATGGATTACTATGAGTTGGAATCAACTCGACCACAGTGGGATTACAACCTTGTAAAGGAGTCCTGATGGCACAGAAAAGGTAAGAACTCGCCAGCAGCTCAGTGGGAAGTCTGCTTCAATAGGGATCATAGCCTTGGAAACCCTATGGGGCAGTTCTACTCTGTCCTATAGGGTTGCTATGAGTTAGAATGGGAGCTCTGGTAGCACAATGCCTAAGGCACTTGACTGCTAACCAGAAGGCTGGCAGTTCAAACCTACCAGCCATTCCTCGGAAGCAAGGTTGGGCAATCTACTTCCTCCGTAGTGAAGGAATGTTGGGCAATCTACTTCCTCCGTACTGATACCGCCTTGCCTCGGAAACCGGACTCGAAGGCACATAACAACAACAACAACAACATGAGTTAGAATCGATCTGATGGCAACAGATTTGGTTTTGTTATAACCTTGTAAGTAAGAACTACTATTTCCGTCAAGATCTAGAAGAGGAAACTAAGGCACACAGAGGTTAAGTGGCTGAAGAGTTATTGGCCAGATCATGTACACCTTGAACAGTATGCTGTTGTTGTTGTTGTTATGTGCCGTTGAGTCGGCCCCGACTCATAGCGACCCCTCCTTGGGTTTCCGAGGCAGTATCACTACGGAAGTAGGATTGCCCAACCTTCCTTCCGAGGAGTGGCTGGTGGTTTTGAACTGCCAGCCTTCTGGATAGCAGTCAATTCCGTTTAGTACAAAGTGAAGAGGCAATGAGGAATCTGACACAAGACAGATGACTCAATCTGCAATTAGAAAGACAAATCTGATACCACTGTGAAGACAGACTAAAGACCACCACCACTGGAGATAAGGAGCTGGCTGAGGACACTATTCTAGTACTCCAGGTGGGAAATGACCAGGGTCTTGAGAAGGGAGACAAGGGGACAGATTGACCAAAAAATCAAACCCACTGCCAGCAAGTCAGTTCCGACCCACAGTGACCCACGTGTTACAAAGTGGAACTGAGCTTCCCAGTGTTTTCCTGGCTGTACTCTTTACGAAAGCAGACCCCCAGGGCTTTCTTCCACGTCTCTGCTGGGGAGGTTTGAAAACCAACCTTTCAGTTAGGAGATGAGTGCAAACTGTGCCACTCAGGCTGATTAGAGGGTTCCAAAACAGTAGAATCTACAGGACAAGGCCAAGAAGTAAATGGGCACAGGATCAAAGGAGAAACACTGGGTCTCAAACCAAGAAACCAAACTCACTGCCAATGAGTTGATTCTGACTCACAGATACCCCCATTGGGTTTCCAAGGCAGTAAATCTTACGGAAGCAGATTCCTCCATCTTCCTTTCACAGAGCAGCTGGTGGGTTTGAACCGCCAACCTTCTGGTTAGCAGTCAAATGTCTTAAGGCACTACCATACTAGAGCTCCTTAAATTGAGCCTAATGACTTATGTCCATAGGGAGTGATGGACAATGTGGCAAGGTGGAGAGGGTAAGTCCGTTCAGGAAGAAGCCAATCATGGTCATGGCACTCTAAGTTTTCAGATCATCCAACTTTCAAAAGAAACCAGAGATTTTAACTTTTATTTGAAATCTCCTAATTTCCAAATGCTTACAACAAATTCCAATATTTGAAAAACACATCTCCAGGCCAAACAAAACATGTCTACAGAACCAAGTTAATCAGGGCCACCCATTCATGACCTCTGCACAGGACAGAGAAAAGACCAACTAAAGTCACACAGAAAAACTGCTGAGTAGCACTGAAGTCTCAGCTGAGATCATGATTCATGAGTTTCTAGTGACAACACCTAGCAGCCAGGATGCAGGAGCAAAAAAAGCCGCATGTGTATTAGCTGATCTAGACCTGGGATTCCACGCGGGCAAAGTGCTATGGAAGGATAAGGGGATTATGGAAACACGAGACACACTTTTCACACAGAATCTTTAATCTTCACAACAATCCCATCTAGGGCAGCCTTATCATGTCCATTTTACTGATGAAGACGCTTCAGTGACTTGTCCACTATCAAATAAGTTGTGATGTGCAAGTTTGAGCAAGACAATCTAAAATCCATGCACTTTCCACATTCTATGTTGCCTCCCCAAAAGGAATGTCTGGCAGAAGTGGAATGCACTGAGTTAAGAAAGACTAAGAATCTGATGGACTGTTTGGATTCATGCAAGGTACAGAGCCTGAGAGTCCCCCCAAGTGGGATGAAAGCACTGTCAGTCTGCATTTTCCACCTTAGAAA